GCAGGCTGTGGAGTCGACCAACAGCTCTTCGCGCTATGTTGATAACGCTGCAGTCGTCAGCTGTCATTGGCCCTGCACGGTTTGTTTTATGTAGTAGGGGTCACACGGCCTAGAGAGCCAAGTGTGAGGGGTGTTAAAGATGAACCCCTTCTGCCATTTGGGGAAGATGCTGAGTATTTCTCAGGCATGCGTTGTTCTTATCAGCGGAGGGAAAAGCCAGCTCACCAAATGGCTGTTGTTACTATACTGTTGTAACGCGAACATCCATCTTGCTCAAGATTGATAGTGGCAATTTAATGATACAAAACCTGTTTTTCCGAGATTACAGAGGTTTCAGATCAAACCTCTGTAATCACTAGCACATTAGAGGCTGCTGCCTATAGACATAGACTAGAAATCACTGGTCACTTTAAGAAATGGAACACTAGTCACTTTAATAATGTTTACATATCTTGCATTACTCATCTCATATGTATATACTGAATTCTATACTATTCTACTGTATCTTAGTCCATGCCGCTCTGTCATTGCTCGTCCATATATGTATATATTCTTAATTCCATTCCTTACTTAGATTTGTGTGTATTGGGTATATGTTGTGAAATTGTTAGATGTTACTTGTTAGATATTACTGCACTGTCGGAGCTAGAAGCACAAGCGTTTCGCTACACCCGCAATAACATATGCTAAACACGTGTATGTGACCAATAAAATGTGATTTGATTTGAAATGTTTGGAGCTTGTTCTTGGTGAAAACATGTTTTGAATAAAATATAACACACTGCTTTCTGTTTCCAGCTTGCCACCATAAAAAGTGAATCCCGTTTGAAGCACCTACTACAGCGATTACCAAGCTACTGCCCTGAGTCTATGGTAAGTGGTCTACAAATAATGTTCAGTTAAATATGGCTGTAATAAAGTTGGCTATGAAATCTTTCATTATGACACAGGAAATGTATCTGTGGCTATGGCAAAGCTTATAAGCATTACTCACAAGTCTATTGTACCTGGTCTTACTAAAGGTACAAAGAAGTATCAAAAAAGTATTAAAGAAGTATCAAAAAAGTATTAAAGAAGTATTAAAGTATCAAATAAGTAATACATAGTATCAAATGAGTATTAAAGAAATATCAAATAAGTATTAAAGTATCGAATAAGTATTAAAGTATCAAATAAGTATCAAAGTATTAAAGAAGTATCAAAGAAGTATCAAATAAGTATTAAAGAGGTATTAAAAAAGTATTAAAGAAGTATCAAATAAGTATCAAAGTATCAAATAAGTATCAAATAAGTATTAAAGTGTTAAAGAAGTATGAAAGTGTTAAAGAAGTATCAAAGAAGTATTAAAGAAGTATCAAAGTATTAAAGAAGTATCAAAGTGTTAAAGAAGTATCAAAGAAGTATTAAAGAAGTATCAAAGTGTTAAAGAAGTATCAAAGTGTTAAAGAAGTATCAAAGTATTAAAGAAGTATCAAATTATTAAAGAAGTATCAAAGTGTTAAAGAAGTATCAAAGTATTAAAGAAGTATCAAAGTATTAAAGAAGTATCAAAGAGTGGGGCTTGAAACAAGGCTAAACGCTCCCCACCAACATAACATAACATAACTACAAACCTGGAATACCGAAATGTAACTGTTTTTCATTTGCACTGCCCCAAACTGCCAATTAGAAACCAGTCTGTCATTACCTAGAGTTAAATACTTTATTTTATTTGGACATGTTTCCTGTTATTAATTAACTAATTTGCCAAAATGGATCTGATTTGGGGATTTTGGAAACAATTTCAGCCAGCATATTAGTACTGACACTCCAAGGTCCTTCTTAGTCTCAGACACCACTAAACATCTCACAGCCGTTCCAAGGGATTGTTTCTAAGGGATTGTTTCTAAGGGATTGTTTCTAAGGGATTGTTTCTAAGGGATTGTTTCTAAGGGATTGTTTCTAAGGGATTGTTTCTAAGGGATTGTTTCTAAGAGATTGTTTCTAAGGGATTGTTTCTTGGCATGTTGAGGTCTAAAAGTAGTTGTACTTGGAGGGCTGCTAAAATCCACCCTCCACCGCTAGTCGTCCTTCATGTTCCCAAACCTTATTGGGTTCCCCTTCATCACAAATCCTGTTTCTAGCTCATGTAGAGATATCATTTCTCTCCGTCGGCATCGTAAAGGATGGTGAAGTCTCCTGACAAGTGGCTCCTCTGTTCGAGAGCCAACAGACATGAGGGACTGAGCTGAACCTCAGACAATATCCAGTTTATATAGTTCATTATCTTGTTAAGGGCTAGAGACAGAGAGTGCTCTCTGGGCCACTCACTGCTCCTTCTCCATGCGTCATGTTCTCTATCCAGATGAGCCTGGGATATTTGTGTTTATTGCTGTGTATATTACCACAAAGCTCTTATGAGTGTGTGGTTTATATGTCTCTGTTTCCACTGCATGAATATGTTTTTTAATTAGATGGCAGTCATATAAAAAATGCAATGTTCTCTATGAAATGCAATAGCCCCTGCAAACGCAGTAAATTACCATTTCAGTCTGTTGTTTCACCCAAGGAACCAATAGTTGTCTGATATCATTTCCCGTTGAGCGATATGAAAACACAAATACGTAGACAGGATTACTTTCACAAAGGCCCCCCAACAGAGGTCTTCCGTGTGGTTCATTCATGCTCACCTCTGCCCAACACAAGGCTCCTTCCTTTGACATTTGTCCAACTCCAGAATAACCTCTGTAAATCAAAACAACCTGTCCTTCTGTTTCTGGAATTATTTTCCCTTGTTCTCTTGCTTGTTTTGGCATTGGTCCTCTGTTTATAATGAAATGACCTTTCTCTCTGTTTCACAGAATGAGCTTTGGATCTGCATCAACTCCACACTACCTGGTAAGATCTGCGTGCAGCATTTCAAAGGGATACGTGCCGTTACAGACAAATCTACCTGTCAGAACATAATGCCTCCCAGATGCAAAAACATTGTCGCTTATCTCAACACTGTGTACCCACTGAGCCCACACTAAAAGTCCATATATGTCCACAGTTTAATATGCTGCCCTTAAAATGTCTAAATGTTTTGCAAACCCCCCACAAGAGGATAAAGTTAATCCATACTTTAATTCTGATAATGCTACAGTGCCTTGCAAAAGTATTCATCCCCCTTGGCGTTTTTTCCTATTTTGTTGCATTACAACCTGTAATTTAAATTGATTTTTATTTGGATTTCATGTAATGGACATACACAAAATAGTCCAAATTGGTGAAGTGAAATGAAAAAAATTACTTGTTTCAAATAATTCTAAAAAATAATTAACGGAAAAGTGGTGCTTGCATATGTATTCACCCCCTTTGCTATGAAGTCCCTAAATAAGATCTGGTGCAACCAATTACCTTCAGAAGTCACATAATTAGTTCAATAAAGTCCACCTGTGTGCAATCTAAGTGTCACATGATCTCAGTATATATACACCTGTTCTGAAAGGCCCCAGAGTCTGCAACACCACTAAGCAAGTGGCACCACCAAGCAAGCGGCACCATGAAGACCAAGGAGCTCTCCAAACAGGTCAGGGACAAAGTTGTGGAGAAGTACAGATCAGGGTTGGGTTATAAAAAAAGATCAGAAACTTTGAACATCCCACGGAGCACCATTAAAATTGAAAGAATATGGCACCACAGCAAACCTGCCAAGAGAGGGCCGCCCACCAACACATCAAGGAAAATGCTATGTCTGGGGCAAACTCAACACCTCTCATCACCCCGAGAACACCATCCCCACAGTGAAGCATGGTGGGGGCAGCATCATGCTGTAGGGATGTTTTTCATCGGCAGGGACTGGGAAACTGGTCAGAATTGAAGGAATGATGGATGGTGCTGAATACAGGGAAATTCTTGAGGGAAACCTGTTTCAGTCTTCCAGAGATTTGAGACTGGGACTGAGGTTCACCTTCCAGCAGGACAATGACCCTAAGCATACTGCTAAAGCAACACTCAAGTGGTTTAGATTTGACTTGATTTGATTTGATTTAAGGGGAAACATTTAAATGTCTTGGAAGGGCCAAGTCAAAGCCCAGACCTCAATCCAATTGAGAATCTGTGGTATGACTTAAAGATTGCTGTACACCAGCGGAACCCATCCAACTTGAAGGAGCTGGAGCAGTTTTGCCTTGAAGAATGTGCAAAGATCCCAGTGGCTAGATGTGCCAAGCTTATAGAGACATACCCCAAGAGACTTGCAGCTGTAATTGCTGTAAAAGTTGGCTCTACAAAATATTGACTTTGGGGGGGTGAATAGTTATGCACGCTTAAGTTTTCTGTTTCTTTGTCTTATTTCTTGTTTGTTTCACAATAAAAAATATTTTGCATCAAAGTGGTAGGCATGTTGTGTAAATCAAATGATACAAACTCCAAAAAAAATCAATTTTAATTCCAGGTTGAAAGGCAACAAAATAGGAAAAATGCCAAGGGGGATGAATACTTTCGCAAGGCACTGCACACCCATCAAGGGTTTGTGGGTAATGGCGACCATTTTTGTTTGTCTACAGGGTCGTCCAGGAAGTCCGATGGTTGGGTTGGACTGGGCTGCTGTGAGCTGGCCATCTCGGCCGAGTGCCGCAGGGAGTGCAAGCAGGTGAGAGGAAGTTCGTTTGGCCCGTTATAGCCTTATCCATTTGCACCTCACCTAATTTCTCATTGTCTGACCCTATAGGCATCATCCAGGACTGACATCACAAGAGGATGCAAAAAAGAAACAGAGGTAAGTAAACCAAAGGTAATATTTTGTGTAATATAATGTGCTTTAAATTGAGTATCACACATGCTGTTGACTTTGAGAGACTGTACAGTGAGGGAAAAAAGTATTTGATCCCCTGCTGATTTTGTATGTTTGCCCAATGACAAAGAAATGATCAGTCTATAATTTTAATGGTAGGTTTATTTGAACAGTGAGAGACAACAATAACAACAGTGAATAACAACAACAAAATCCAGAAAAACGCATATAAAAAATGTTATAAATTGATTTGCATTTTAATGAGGGAAATAATTATTTGACCCCCTCTCAATTAGAAAGATTTCTGGCTCCCATGTGTCTTTTATACAGGTAACGAGCTGAGATTAGGAGCACACTCTTAAAGGGATCGCTCCTAATCTCAGTTTGTTACCTGTATAAAAGACACCTGTCCACAGAAGCAATCAATCTGATTCCAAACTCTCCACCATGGCCAAGAACAAAGAGCTCTCCAAGGATGTCAGGGACAAGATTGTAGACCTACACAAGGCTGGAATGGGCTACAAGACCATCGCCAAACAGCTTGGTGAGAAGGTGACAACAGTTGGTGCGATTATTCGCAAATGGAAGAAACACAAAAGAACTGTCAGTCTCCCTCGGCCTGGGGCTCCATGCAAGATCTCACCTCGTGGAGTTGCAATGATCATGAGAACGGTGAGGAATCAGCCCAGAACTACACGGGAGGATCTTGTCAATGATCTCAAGGCAGCTGGGACCATAGTCACCATGAAAACAATTGGGTACACACTACGCCGTGAAGGACTGAAATCCTGCAGCGCCCGCAAGGTCCCCCTGCTCAAGAAAGCACATATACAGGGCCGTCTGATGTTTGCCAATGAACATCTGAATGATTCAGAGGAGAACTGGGTGAAAGTGTTGTGGTCAGATGAGACCAAAATCGAGCTCTTTGGCATCAACTCAACTTGCCATGTTTGGAGGAGGAGGAATGCTGCCTATGACCCCAAGAACACCATCCCCACTGTCAAACATGGAGGTGGAAACATTATGCTTTGGGGGTGTTTTTCTGCTAAGGGGACAGGACAACTTCACCGCATCAAAGGGACGATGGACGGGGCCATGTACCGTTAATTCTTGGGTGAGAACCTCCTTCCCTCAGCCAGGGCATTGAAAATGGGTCGTGGATGGGTATTCCAGCATGACAATAACCCAAAACACACGGCCAAGGCAACAAAGGAGTGGCTCAATAAGAAGCACATTAAGGTGCTGGAGTGGCCTAGCCAGTCTCCAGACCTTAATCCCATAGTAAATCTGTGGAGGGAGCTGAAGGTTCGAGTTGCCAAATGTTAGCCTCGAAACCTTAATGACTTGGAGAAGATCTGCAAAGAGAAGTGGAACAAAATCCCTCCTGAGATGTGTGCAAACCTGGTGGCCAACTACAAGAAACGTCTGACCTCTGTGATTGCCAACAAGTCATGTTTTACAGAGGGGTCAAATACTTATTTCCCTCATTAAAATGCAAATCAATTTATAACATTTTTGACGTGCATTTTTCTGGATTGTTTTGTTGTTATTCTGTTTCTCACTGTTCAAATAAACCTACCATTAAAATTATAGACTGATCATGTCTTTGTCAGTGGGCAAACGTACAAAATCAGCAGGGGCTTAAATACTTTTTTCCCTCACTGTATGTAGTCTCTGGCTGCCTTACATTTTAGTCATTTAGCAGACGCTCTTATCCAGAGCGACTTACAGGAGCAATTAGGGTTACGTGCCTTGCTTAAGGGCACATCGACAGATTTTTCACCTAGTCGGCTCGGGGATTAGAAACAGCGACCTTTCGGTTACTGGCACAACGCTCTTAACCACTAAGCTACCTGCCGCCCCTGGGCTTGAAAACTTCAGTGCTGTTTTACGAGATAAAGGTGGCGGTACTTCTTTGCAGTCCGTCTCAGCACCTCAGCATCGTCCTCCTCCCCACCCCTCTTTATGAGGTAATTTCCTGTCCGTGTAGCACTCTAAGGCAGTGGTATTCAAATTCGGGGTCGCGACCACCAGTGGGGTAATTGCAGTGCAGTCGCCAACATTTTTATAAAATATATATATATACATTTTTTTTTTTACAAACAATTAAGAGTATAGATTATTGTATGGGACAATATACAAACGTTTTGGAGATAGTTTGAAAACTATAAATGTATTGAGTAAATGTATTCATTTTGAGAAGAGAGATGAAATTGTAATGTATTGAAGGCTATTTAATGTTGTTGTTTTTTTTTTAAATCCTACCGATTTTAAGGCTGTGTCATTAGATTTGGGGTGTAGTGGGGTCGCCAGAAATTCAGGTGAAAAAATGGGGTCCCCAGAAATGTTAGTGCCCATATATAACTTTGTTCTCTACATGTTGGTGATGTAACCATACGAGAGCGCCTCCACCGGTTCCCTATGAAATGACCCGCTGTAAACAAGCAAAACGGAGCAGTGAATTTAACCTACGTTTTTTTATTGATTCGCTTTCGGGATAATGTGTATCCAAGTCTTTACTATGGTGTAGTGTCAACAAGTTGCATATCTGCTTTAACTGGACATCTTCATGAGTTTTGAAAACTATCAGAAATAAACAGCACAATGCAGAAGCGTTAATTATCACTTAACGATGGCTACGGAGGAGAAGGTGGCGCTCTTGGAATGTTCAACCGCATTGGCCTAACTCTATATACACTGAGTGTACAAAACATTAGGAGCACCTTCTCTTTCCATGGCATCGACTGACCAGGTGAATCCAGGTGAAAGCTATGATCCCTTATTGATGTCACCTGTTAAATCCACTTCAATCCGTGTAGGTGAAGGGGAGGAGACAGGTTAAAGAAGGATTTTTAAGCCTTGAGACAATTGAAACATGGATTGTGTATATGTGCCATTCAGAGGGTGAATGGGCAACACAAAATATTTAAGTGGCTTTGAACTGGGTATAGTAGTAGGTGCCAGGTGCACTGGTTTGAGTATGTCAAGAACTAAAATGTTGCTGGGTTTTTCACGTTCAACAGTTTCCTGTGTGTATCAAGAATGGTCCACCACCCAAAGGACATCCAGCCAACTTGACACTGTGGGAAGCATTGGAGTCAACATGGGCCATCATCCATGTGGAACGCTTTCGACACCTTGTAGAGTCTATGCCCCAACGAATTGAGGCTGTTCTGAGGGCAAAAAGGTGTTCCTAATGTTTTGTACACTCAGTGTACATGTATATGGCTCTGGCTTAGTTTAGCTATTAGCGTAGCATAGCTTAGCTATTAGCATAGCATAGCTATTAGCTTAGCCTAGCGTAGCCTAGTGACGGGCTAGCAGAGGTCTCCTTTCATCTGGCTCACCTCCTCATTCCAAACAAACATACAAACAAAGCGGCGGGCTTAATGTTTGGTTTGGACCACGACTAAACTCCCCTCACCAGCTTTAATAAGGCACTGGCCCCTTTCATCTTGCCCTTTCATGAATCCTTGCTGGGGGAGCCAAAGCACGCAGCAGCACTGGCCTTAATGGTCCTCTATGGTTTTGATGGAAAGAAGCCAATGTGTTTTCTGATGGAGAATTGAACTGTACTGAGGACAGGAGAGTGAGTTTTCTGATGGAGGTTTAACTGTCCTGAGGACAGTGGATGAGAGAAGAGGAACGGGGTGTGTATTCATCGAGGGGAAAGGTTCAGAATATTGCAGACAGAAATTTAATGAATAGAGCTGACGCAATAATGGTTGTTCAATAGTGTGTTTGATCACAAAAGTGTTTTTTCTTGTCTTTTACAGAAACCACTGTACAGCTGTATCACCAGAAATGAAAGTAAGTTTCCAACGTTCTCCACGACAAGCCGCTAACCCAAGTGCACCAATCAGAGCGTGACCTGCACGTGTGGCTCAGTTGGTAGAGCATGGCGCTTGCCATGCCAGTTTTTGTGGGTTTGATTCCCCACGGGGGGGACCAGTATGAAAAAGTACGGAAATGTATGCACTTACTGCTGTAAGTTGCTCTGGATAAGTGTTTCTGCTAAATGACTAAAATGTAAAATGAATAAACATGAAGTCAGAACTCTGCTTTTGGTCCGCAGAAATGATTTCATCTGTCACTGAGTCAGTCAGCCGATGAATCCCTTATTTGTATTCGGAGCTGCAATGCAGTGGTGTGACATGCCCACCACAAGATGCATTTGGGCGAATTTGAGGATGTGAGGTCACTTCCTGAAGTCTTGCAACTGCAGATCACCCCCCAACGTTCACCATCAGACTATTCTCTAGGGCAGGGTTCTTCAATTCCGGTCCTGGAGGGCCGAAACACTTCTGTTTTTCATTTCTACCTGGTAGTTAATTGCACTCACCTGGTGTCCCAGGTCTGAATTAGCCCCTGATTAGAAGGAGAGGATGAAAAACAGGTGTTTCGGCCCTCCAGGACCGGAATTGAAGAACCCTGCTCTAGGAAATCCTGAAAGTCTACTGTATTATATTCTAATTCAGCACAGAACTACTCCTGATGTTTGAATGTTGATCATGTTTGCAATGTCTGTCATATATTTTACGAGCTAAAGACTACTTCAAGACAAAAATATTTATAAATATACAATTTACAATTCCATTGAAGTGAATGGAAAGCATGTTGCAACTGTGTTGTCTGTGTGTGTTTGTGTGTGTGTGCTGTGTTGTCTCTGTGTGTGCTGTGTCAGTGGGCTCGGTGTGCTGCAGCTATGCAGGGAGACACACCAACTGCAGAGAGTACTGCCAGGCCATCTTCCGGACAGACTCCTCCCCCACCGTCTCGCAAATCAAGGCCGTCAAGGAATACTGCCAGAGCATCAGCCCCGAGCTCATTGGCTGTGTGGGCAACTACACCATGTCCTACCCAATCAGGAGCCCCATAGACAGTGAGTATAGCTCATACTGACCTATCGGCTGCCCCATAGACATTGTGTATATCAAATACTGACCTAGCAGCATCCCATTAGACAGTGAGTAAATCAAATACTGACCTATCAGCAGCCCCATAGACATTGAGTATATCAAATACTGACCTATCAGCAGCCCCATATACATTGAGTAGGCCTATGGCCAAATACTAATCTATCAGTACCCAACTTGACATATCCAGTGTGTATCTTCTTTCTGTGTTGCATTCCTCCAATCACTGGCTATCACTTGGTACAGTCCATTCGGAAAGTATTCAGACCCCTTGACTTTTTCCACATTTTGTTACGTTACAGCCCTATTCTAAAATTGATTCAATTGTATTTTTTCCCCCATCATCAACCTACACACAATTCCCCATAATGACAAAGCAAAAACTGGTTTTTAGACATTTTTGCAAATGTATTAAAAATACAAAACTGAAATATCACATTTACATAAGTATTCAGACCCTTTACTCAGTACTTTGTTGAAGCACCTTTGGCAGTGAGTCTTCTTGGGTACGACGCTACAAGCTTGGCATACCTGTATTTGGGGAGTTTCTCCTATTCTTCTCTGCAGATCCTCTCAAGCTCTGTCAGGTTGGATGGGGAGCGTCGCTGCACAGCTATTTTCAGGTCTCTCCAGAGATGTTTGATCGTTTTCAAGTCCGTACTCTGGCTGGGCCCCTCAAGGATATTCAGAAACGTGTCCTGAAGCCACTCCTGCATTGTCTTGGCTGTGTGCTTAGGGTCGTTGTCCTGTTGGAAGGTGAACCTTCGCCCCAGTCTGAGGTCCTGAGCGCTCTGGAGCAGGTTTTTGTCAAGGATCTCTCTGCACTTTTGCTCTGTTCATCTTTCCCTCGATCCTGACTAGTCTCCCAGTCCCTGCCGCTGAAAAATATCCCCACAGCATGATGCTGCCATCAGCGTGCTTCACCGTAGGGATGGTGCCAGGTTTCCACCAGACGTGACACTTGGCATTCAGGCCAAAGAGTTCAATCTTGGTTTCATCAGACCAGAGAATCTTGTTTCTCATGGTCTGAGTATTTTAGGTGCCTTTTGGCAAACTCCAAGCGGGCTGTCATGTGCCTTTTACTGAAGAGTGGCTTCCGTCTGGCCACTCTACCATAAAGGCCTGATTGGTGGAGTGATGCAGAGATGGTTGTCCTTCTGGAAGGTTCTCCCATCTCCACAGAGGAACTCTGGAGCTCTGTCAGGATGACCATCGGGTTCTTGGTCAACTCCCTGACCAAGGCCCTTCTCCCCCGATTGCTCAGTTTGGCTGGGCGGCCAGTTCTAGGAAGAGTCTTGGTGGTTCCAAATTTCTTCAATTTAAGAATGATGGAGACCACTGTGTTCTTGGGGACCTTCAGTGCTGCAGAAATGTTTTGCTACCCTTCCCCAGATCTGTCCCTCGACACAATCCTGTCTCAGAGCTCTACGGACAATTCCTTCGACCTCATGACTTGGTTTTTGAAACAGGATGCACCTAAGCTCAATTTCGAGTCTCATAGCAAAGGGTCTGAATACTTATGTAAATAAGGTATTTCTGTTTTTGCAAAACATTCTGAAAACCTGTTTTTGCTTTGTCATTATGGGGCATTGCGTGTAGATTGATGAGGAACAATTAAATTTAATCAATTTTAGAATATGCTGTAACGTAACAAAATGTGGAAAAAGTCAAGGGGTCTGAACACTTTCCGAATGCATTGTATATCCATCCATCCATCTGTCCGTCCAGGCCTGTACTGCTGCGACCGGGCCGATGAGCCCCACTGCCAGGTGGCATGCCGGCGCATCCTGCGCACCATGACCACAGAGCACGAGATTATGGAGGGCCTGATCGATGAGTGTGGCAGCCAGCCACTGCCCCAGGACCCGCTGTGGCAGTGCTTCCTGGGCAGCGCTCACCCCCCCACCAAAAGGGAGACGGAGACCTCACCTACCGCCAAGATGGACGGCGCCAAGCTGCACTGCTGCTCCAAAGCCAATACCTCACTGTGCCGGTTAGTTGGTCATTGTACTCTGATGAGATGCTTGTAGTGATTACAATGGCTTACAGCTACAGAGCGGTAACGCTCCCAGCCAGTCACAAACTGCTCCCCACCGGAGACCAGGGTTCAATCTCTGCGTCCACCCTTCCTAAGTTGTCCCACTTGCCTGTCTCCCCCTCTGTTTCCAACTTTCTGAATAAAGTGTAAAAGGTAACTCCCGAGTGGCACAGCGGTCCTAGGCACTGCATCGCAGGCGTCAGTACAGACCCTGGTTCGATCCCAGGCTGTGTCGTGACCGGGAGACCCATGAGGCGGCGCACAGTGTTTCCTCTAACACATTGGTGCTTCTGGGTTAAGCGAGCAGTGTGTAAAGAAGCAGTGCGGCTTGGCGGGGTCGTGTTTCGGAGGACAACCTTCACCTCTCCCAAGTCAGTACGGGAGTTTCAGCAATGGGACAAGACTGTAACTATCAATTGGGGAGAAAAAGGGGGTAAAAGTAAAAATAGAATATATATATATATATATATATATATATATATATATATATATATATATATATATATATATACTAACCCCCCCCCCCCCCAAAAAAAGGTAAATATACAGTTGAAGTCGGAAGTTTACATACACCTTAGCCAAATCCATTTAAACACAGTTTTTCACAATTCCTGACATTTAGTCCTAGTAAACATTTGCTGTTTTAGGTCAGTTAGGATCATCACTTTATTTTAAGAATGTGAAATGTCTGAATAATAGTAGAGAGAATGATTTATTTCAGCTTTTATTTATTTCATTACATTCCCAGTGGGTCAGAAGTTTACATACACTCAATTAGTATTTGGTAGCATTGCCTTTAAATTGTTTAAATTGGGTCAAACATTTCAGGTAGCCTTCTACAAGCTTCCCACAATAAGTTGGGTGAATTTTGGCCCATTCCTCCTGACAGAGCTGGTGTAACTGAATCAGGTTTGTAGACCTCCTTGCTCGCACACGCTTTTTCAGTTCTGCCCACAAATGCTCTATAGGATTGAGGTCAGGGCTTTGTGATGGCCACTCCAATACCTTGACTTTGTTGTCCTTAAGCCATTGTGCCACAACGTTGGAAGTATGCTTGGGGTCATTGTCCATTTGGAAGACCCATTTGCGACCAATTTTTAACTTCCTGTGAGAGTGTGATTTGAAGGAGTCAGGCGCAGGAGGGTAAATCACCGAATACAGAGTTGATTCCGTAGTACACAGTTGCGCTGGATAGCGTCAACAGCACAGGGCGTAATACAGGCGCACTGGAACACAATACAGGCACACGGGGAGAAATAACCCCGGCAATACAAAGTATGAGTATCTCAACCGAGCTACACTCATCTTCACATAAAACAATCACCCACAAGGACAAGGGGGCAGAGGGAACACTTATACACAGATTAATGAGGGGATATGAACCAGGTGTGTGTATTTGACAAGACAAGACAAATGGAATGATGATATATGGAGCAGCAGTGGCTAGTAAGCCGGTGACGACGAACGCCGAAACCTGCCTGAACAAGGAGGGGAGGCAGCCTCGGCGGAAGTCGTGACAGTACCCCCCCCCCCCCCCCCCCCCCCCACCCCCCCCTAGACGCGCAGCTCCAGCAGCGTACCGACCCCAGCTTGTGGGGTGTGTTCTACCTTGGACTTCACGTTTAGTTTCCTTTGTTGTTTTGTTGTGTGTTTAAAGTTTAATAAACATGTACGCATATCACGCTGCGCCTTGGTCTGACCCGTCATTCAACGAACGTGACAGAAGATCCCACCAAACGAGGACCAAGCAGCGTGCCCAGGCGGATCGAATAGCCATGTCACAGGTGGGCAAATTGTGGTCATGGGAAGAGATATTTGCGGGGAGAGGACCATGGGCTAAGGTAGATGCCCAGGCAGGAGAGGTGCAACGGCAACACGGAGGAGGCCGGTCGAGGAGGAAGCCCGAGAAGCAGCCCCAAGAAACATTTCTGGGGGGGAACACGGGGTGGTTGGCGGAGCCTAGTGTCAGAGCAGAGCCAACTCCCCGTACTCACGCGAGGAAGCATATGACTGGGCAGGCTCTGTGTTATGCGGAGCTACGTACTGTACGTCCTGTGCTTGCACCACGCACATGCCGTGCGAAGATGGGTATCCAGCCAGGACGGGGTGTGCCGGCTCAACGGTCCTGGTCTCCAGTACGCCTCCTCGGTCCCGCATATCCTGCGCCAGTTCTACGAACTGTATCGCCAGTGCGCGTGCACAGCCCAGTGCGTCCTGTGCTGATGCCTCACACATACTGTGCGGAAGTAGGCATTCAGCCAGGACGGGTTGTGCCAGCTCTCCGCTCCAGACCTCTAGTCCGCCTCCACAGTCCGGCCCGGCCTGTTCCTGCTCCTCGCTCCAAGCCAGTGGTGCGCGTCGCCAGCCTGGCCCGGCCTGTTCCTGCTCCTCGCACCAATTCAGTGGTGCGCGTCGCCAGCCCGGCCCGGCCAGTTCCTGCTCCTCGCACCAAGCCAGTGGTGCGCGTCGCCAGCCCGGCCCGGCCTGTTCCTGCTCCTCGCACCAAGCCAGTGGTGCGCGTCGCCAGCCCGGCCCGGCCTGTTCCTGCTCCTCGCACCAAGCCAGTGGTGCGTGTCGCCAGTCCGGCCCGGCCTGTTCCTGCTCCTCGCACCAAGCCAGTGGTGCGCGTCGCCAGTCCGGCCCGTTCCTGTCCCTCGCACCAAGACAGTGGTGCGTGTTCCTAGTCCAGTCAGGCCCGTGCCTGCTCCTCGCACCAGACCAGTGGTGCGTTTGTCCAGTCCGGCACGGCCCGTGCCCGTTCCACCGGTGCCGGTCAGCTGCTCCACTCCGGAGCCAGAGCAGTCCGCTCCACCGGTGCCTGATCCAGCTTCGGTCAGCGGCTCCACTCCGGAGCCAGAGCAGTCCGCTCCACCGGTGCCCAGTCCAGCTCCGGTCAGCAGCTCCAGTCCAGATCATGACGTCAGCCCCTCTCCAGGTTCGGGGTCTCCCACACCAGGGTCCAGACAGGGCCTGGCGTATCGTGGGAGGAAGGAGAGGGGAAGCAGCGCGCCGAGGTCCAGACCAGACCAGGGGCGCAACAGGGAGGCGGAGAGTGAGAGGTCGTCACGCCCCGAGCCGGATCCGCCTCCGAGGCGGAATGCCCACCCGGCCCCTACCCTGTTATGTTTATGTTGTGCGGTCGGAGTCCGCACCTTTGGGGGGGGGGAGGTACTGTCACGCCCTGACTCAGGGGACGCTTATATGTTGAGTCAGGGTGTGTATATTCCTTGTTGTGCTTTTTCTATGTTGTCGATCTAGTAGGTGTGGATCTATGTTGGCCGGTGTGGTTCCCAATCAGAGGCAGCTGTCGCTCGTTGTCTCTGATTCGGTACCATACTTAAGCAGCCTATTGGCACTGTCTAGTTGTGGGATCTTGTTCCTTGTAAGGTATGTTGTGTGTTCTACCTTGGACTTCACGTTTCGTTTCCTTTGTTGTTTTGTCGTGTGTTTAAAGTTTAATAAACATGTACGCATATCACGCTGCGCCTTGGTCTGACCCGTCATTCAACGAACGTGACAGGCTGTAAGTAAGCATTTCACGGTAATGTCTACACCTGTTGTATTCGGCGCATGTGGCAAATACGATTTCATTTGATTTGGTCATTATGGCCAAACAGTTCTATTTTTGTTTAATCAGAACAGAGGACATTTCTCCAAAAAGTACGATCTTTGTCCCCATGTGCAGTTGCAAACCATAGTCTGGCTATTTTATGGCGGTTTTGGAGCAGTGGCTTCTTCCTTGCTGAGCGGCCTTTCAGGTTATGTCGATATAGGACTCAATTTACTGTGGATATAGATACTTTTGTACCTGTTTCCTCCAGCATCTTCACAAGGTCCTTTGCTGTTGTTCTGGGATTGATTTACACTTTTCACTCCAAAGTACGTTCATCTCTAGGAGACAGAACGCGTCTCCTTCCTGAGCGGTATGACGGCTGCGTGGTCCCATGGTATTTATACTTGGCTACTATTGTTTGTACAGATGAACGTGGTACCTTCAGGCGTTTGGAAATTGCTCCCAAGAATGAACCAGACTTGTGGAGGTCTACAATAATTTTTTAGAAGTTCTTGGTTGATTTCTTTTGATTTTCCCGTGAAATCAAGCAAAGAGGCACTGAGTTTGAAGGTAGGCCTTGAAATACATCCACAGGTACACCTCCAATTGACTCAAATTATGTCAATTAGCCTATCAGAAGCTTCTAAAGCCATGACATCATTTTCTGGAGTTTTCCAAGTTGTTTAAAGGCACAGTCAACTTAGTGTATGTAAACTTCTGACCCACTGGAATTGTGATACAGTGAATTATAAGTGAAATAATCTGTCTGTAAACAATTGTTGAAAAAATTACTTGTGTCATGCACAAAGTAGATGTCCTAACCGACTTGCCAAAACTATAGTTTGTTAACAAGAAATGTGTGGAGTAGTTGAAAAACAGGTTTTAATGACTCCAACCTAAGTGTATGTAAACATCCAACTTCAACTGTATATATATATACAGTGGGGAGAACAAGTATTTGATACACTGCCGATTTTGCAGGTTTTCCTACTTACAAAGCATGTAGAGGTCTGTAATTTTTATCATAGGTACACTTCAACTGTGAGAGACGGAATCTAAAACAAAAATCCAGAAAATCACATTGTATGATTTTTAAGTAATTCATTTGCATTTTATTGCATGACATAAGTATTTGATACATCAGAAAAGCAGAACTTAATATTTGGTACAGAAACATTTGTTTGCAATTACAGAGATCATACGTTTCCTGTAGGTCTTGACCAGGTTTGCAAACACTGCAGCAGGGATTTTGGCCCACTCCTCCATACAGACCTTCTCCAGATCCTTCAGGTTTCTGGGCTGTCGCTGGGCAATACGGACTTTCAGCTCCCTCCAAAGATTTTCTATTGGGTTCAGGTCTGGAGACTGGCTAGGCCACTCCAGGACCTTGAGATGATTCTTACGGAGCCACTCCTTAGTTGCCCTGGCTGTGTGTTTCGGGTCATTGTCATGCTGGAAGACCCAGCCACGACCCATCTTCAATGCTCTTACTAAGGGAAGGAGGTTGTTGGCCAAGATCTCGCGATACATGGCCCCATCCATCCTCCCCTCAGTACGGTGCAGTCGTGCTGTCCCCTTTGCAGAAAAGCATCCCCAAAGAATGATGTTTCCACCTCCATGCTTCACAGTTGGGATGGTGTTCTTGGGGTTGTACTCATCCTTCTTCTTCCTCCAAACACGGAGAGTGGAGTTTAGACCAAAAAGCTCTATTTTTGTCTCATCAGACCACATGACCTTCTCCCATTCCTCCTCTGGATCATCCAGATGGTCATTGGCAAACTTCAGGCGGGCCTGGACATGTGCTGGCTTGAGCAGGGGGACCTTGCGTGCACTGCAGGATTTTAATCCATGACGGCGTAGTGTGTTACTAATGGTTTTCTTTGAGACTGTGGTCCCAGCTCTCTTCAGGTCATTGACCAGGTCCTGCCGTGTAGTTCTGGGCTGATCCCTCACCTTCCTCATGATCATTGATGCCCCAAAAGGTGAGTTCTTGCATGGAGCCCCAGACTGAGGGTGATTGACCGTCATCTTGAACTTCTTCCATTGTCTAATAATTGCGCCAACAGTTGTTGCCTTCTCACCAAGCTGCTTGCCTATTGTCCTGTAGCCCATCCCAGCCTTGTGCAGGTCTACAATTTTATCCCTGATGTCCTTACACAGCTCTCTGGTCTTGGCCATTGTGGAGAGGTTGGAGTCTGTTTGATTTTGTGTGTGGACAGGTGTCTTTTATACAGGTAACGAGTTCAAATAGGTACAGTTAATACAGGTAATGAGTGGAGAACAGGAAGGCTTCTTAAAGAAAAACTAACAGGTCTGTGAGAGCTGGAATTCTTACTGGTTGGTAGGTGATCAAATACTTATGTCATGCAATAAAATGCAAATTAATTACTTAAAAATTATACTATGTGATTTTCTGGATTTTTATTTTAGATTCCGTCTCTCACAGTTGAAGTTTACCTATGATAAAAATTACAGACCTCTACATGCTTTGTAAGTTGGAAAACCTGCAAAATCGGCAGTGTATCAAATACTTGTTCTCCCCACTGTATATAGAGATGCACTACATCACCAAATGTATGTGGACACCTGCTCGTCGAACATCTCCTTCTAAAATCATGGGCATGAATATGGAGTTGGTCCCCCTTTTGCTGCTATAACAGCCTCCACTCTCTGGGAAGGCTTTCCACTAGATGTTGGAACATTGCTGCGGGGACTTGCTTCCATTCAGCCACAAGAGCATTTGTGAGGTCGGGCACTGATGTTGGGCGATTAGGCCTGGCTCGCAGTCGGCGTTCCAATTCATCCCAAAGGTGTTCGATGGGATTGAGGTCAGGGCTCTGTGCAGGCCAGTCAAGTTCTTCCACACCGATCTCGACAAACCATTTCTGTATGGAGCTCGCTTTGTGCACGGGGGCATTGTCATGCTGAAACAGGAAAGGGCCTTTCCCAAACTGTTGCAACAAAGTTGGAAGCAAGAATCGTGTAGAATGTCATTGTATGCTGTAGAATTAAGATTTCCCTTCACTGGAACTAACTGGCCTAGCCCGAACCATAAAAAAGAGCCCCAGACCATTATTCCTCCTCCACCAAACTTTACAGTTGGCACTGTGCATTGGTGCAGGTAGCATTCTCCTGGCATCCATCAAACCTAACGCTTGGCATTGCGCATGGTGATCTTAGGCTTATGTGCGGCTGCTCGGCCATGGAAACACATTTCATGAAGCTCCCAACGAACAGTTCTTCTGCTGACGTTGCTTCCAGAGACCGTTTGGAACCCGGTAGTGAGTGTTGCAACTGAGGACAGACGATTTTTACGCGCTTCAGCACTCGGCAGTCCCGTTCTGTGACCTTGTGTGGCCTACCACTTTGCGGCTGATCCGTTGTTGCTCCTAGACGTTTCCACTTCACAATAACAGCACTTACAGTTGACCGGGGCAGCTCTAGCAGGGGAGAAATTGGACGAACTGACCTGTTGGAAAGGTGGCATCCTATGACGGTGCCACGTTGAAAGTCACTGAGCTCTTCAGTACGGGCCATTCTACTGCCAATGTTTGTCTATGGGGATTGCATGGCTGTGTGCTCGATTTTATACACCTGTCAGCAACGGTTGTGGCTGAAACAGCCAAATCCACTAATTTGAAGGTGTATCCACATACTTTTATATATATATATATATATATATATATATATATATATATATATATATATATATATATATATATATATAAAGTGTAGACATAAATGACTACAGTATACAGTATAGTGTAGAAAGGGTCTTACATTGGATGCAGGTAATGTAAACTCATAGGGTTGGTTTCCAGGACACAGTTCTGTACTTCACCTGATCAAAACAAATAGAAAGTCTCTGAACATTTGAGTTTTACATGCTTTTACATGCTTGTGTTGTATGTCTGTATGTTTAACTCTGTTTGGTCACAAAGCCCTGAGAAGGACAGCTTTGCTGTGGAAACGTTGGTGAATAAATAATTGCATCAGATGTGCTAGAGTGTGCAGCTTCACAGGAACTCTGTTTCGTCGTCCCTCACAGGGATATGTGTCAGGAGATCAGCACCAACTGGGGAACTCAGACGTGGCAGGAGTTTGACCAGATGTGTGAGTACAGCCCTGTGGAGAAGCCCCTGGTCAGCTGTCTGGCCGACGTCAGGGAACCCTGCCAGCTGGGCTGCAAGGACCTGGCCTACTGCACCAACTTCAACAACAGGTATGTTACTATACCTATCTAATATACCAGATAATATACCTGTTATACCTGTTAATATACCTTGTGCACCAACTTCAACAACAGGTATGTTACTATACCTATCTAATATACCAGATAATATACCTGTTATACCTGTTAATATACCTTGTGCACCAACTTCAACAACAGGTATGTTACTATACCTACTATCATTGGCGGACTTTGCTATGTTTCAGGGTTTTCAATTGAAATGGGCCCCAACTGCCCAAGGGGCCGCCACTGACTGTCACTGTACTAGTTTACATTTTGGTCATTTAGCAGACGCTTTTATCCAGAGGCTAGCGCACGCTCTTACCCAGCATGTATTATTACCGTTATATAATAACATTATATGTCAATATGTGCAGATTGATTTTATGCATACATTTTAGCATGTGATCCCAGCAGGAAATGACCCCACAACCTTTGAATTGTGAGTGCTACGCTCTTACGAACTGAATCACACAGGGCCACACTGTACCACACTGTACCAGACCTTGAATAGTTCTGGTACCTACTATACCGACTAACTCAATATCCAACTTTCACAACAACTGCGTACATCCAAAAGGAGTCTGTAGTGTTCTGTTGCATCGCTGTACCTTTTTGTTACATATCCACGTTCAACACAACGTGCTGTACTGTATCAAAGATCCAAACCAAACCGGGACAATGAGTGTGAGAAAACGAGAAACATTCTGAGTGAGTCATCTGTAACTCACTAATGTCCTAACGGTCAACTGGCATCCTGCAAACCCGTGTCCTCCATCACTCCAAGCTTTGGGCCGGTATGACGCACCGCACGCTAGGCTAATATGATTTATTAGTTCTGGAGTGTCCCACGGAGGTCAGGGGAGAAGGAAGACAGGCGTGGGTAGGGAGGGAGGTAGTGAGTCCACCCCACCCTTCTCCCTAGCCCAGTGGTTAGTGGGTTACTGGCTTTCACGGCCCCTCCCTCGTACACATACATAACCCTATGGGCACCTCCCTCCAAACCCAAACTGGAACCAACAGCCTCGTAACCGTATTAAATATATTCTATAGTTAACTGTTTGAGCGTTGGTTGTGAAATGAAGTGTTTAGTCGATCCCATGCTAGTGATCATGGCTGGATGGGGCCGAGTGAACAGAAGACCCCTGGGGTCTGTTCAGACAGTCTATTCACTAGTTGTTGATGATGACCTTGGTCTACACTCTTAGAAAAAAGGCTTCCAAAAGGGTTCTTCGGCTGTCCCCATAGGAGAATCCTTTTTGGTTCCAGGTAGAACTCTTTTGGGTTCCATGTAAAAACCCTCTGGGGAAAGGGTTCTACATGGAACCCAAAAGGGTTCTACCTGGAACCAAAAAGCGTTCTACCTGGAATCAAAAAGGGTTCTTCAAAGGGTTCTCCTTTGGTAACAGCCAAATAATCCTTTCAGGTTCTAGATAGCACCTTTTCTTCTAAGAGTGTACAATAGGCCGTGTGTGTGGACGTGTTTAACCATTCTTGTGGGGACCAGAAGTCCCCACAAAAATAGTAAACAAACAACAATTTGACCAACTGGGGACATTTTGTTAGTCCCCACAAGGTCAAATGCTATTTCTATGGGGTTTAGGGTTAAGGTTAGAATTACGTTAAGGGTTAGGGTTAGGAACTAGGGTTAGTTTTAGGGTTAGGAGCTAGGGTTAGGTTTAGGGTTAGGGTTAGGAGCTAGGGTTATGTTTAGGTTTAGGGTTAAGGTTTTTAGGTTAATGTTAGGGTAAGAGTACGGGTTAGGGGTTAGGGTTAGGGGTTAGGGAAAATAGGATTTTGACTGGGACTGAATTGTATGTCCCCACAAGGTTAGCTGTACAAGACTGTGTGTGTGTGTGTGTATACATGTGTGTGTGTGCCATTATACTGTAGTTTATGGTGTTTGTACTTGACCTTGGAAGCCAGACGTGTCACAGTTTGCTGCATCCTGGCCTGGCATGGGGCCAGCAGGCCCTGCTTGACGCCATCAAAGCCCGGCCGGTGAACCCACACAAACACACACAGTTCAACAGAACGCTTCCCGCCTGTGGACTCATCCCCATCAATCACCATTCCACCACCAGCCACCAGACATTAGCTTTGTCAAGTTTCAAAAGCGTTGATTTTCCAGGCTGTAGTCAGAGACAGAGAAAAGATCTGATTGGACACTAGGGGATCTGAAGGACGTTACATCATCATGGGCTACAGACTCAAACTTAATCTCATCTCTTTGACCTCTTTATGACCTCTATGATCTCTTTATGACCTCTCTATGTTCTCTCTTTTGACTTCTTTATGATCTCTCCTTTACCTCTCTATGATCTCTCTTTGACCTCTATGTCTATGATATATTTCTGTATATTTGTCTGTTGACTGTAAGGTATAATTTTGTTCAGCACAGTAATGATGATAACCATAATGTCAAGATTATCAGAAAACATATAGTATTTATTTTTGAATTGCAGTTCAGCAGTAAAAGCCAAAGTTCAATCAAACCAAAAAAACAGTCCCTGAAACTTCTCATGCTAGGCCCTTGTAGAGAATATTTGGAAACAATCCCAAGTATAACATGTATTATGTTCATTGCAGAAGGTTGATGATGGCACCGCTGTGGGATTTAGAGTTCAGACAAACAAACATTGGCTCTCATTTCCTTTGAAGGAGTCCCAGGGTCCAGCGTAGGAGAGCCTTCCTGTCTGTCTGTCTGTCTGTCTGTCTGTCAGTCAGTCAGTCTGTCCGTCTGCCAGTCATGTCTGTCTGTCTGCCAGTCCTATCTGTCAGTCAGTCTGTCTGTCTGCCAGTCCTATCCGTCCATCTGTCTGTCTGCCTGTCTGGACAATATGCAACTCTTGTCACGGCCCAGGGCCCACCAAGGTCCAAAGCTGGAAGTCTCAATCCAGATGCCGATCATTCTGAGAGAAGAGTGGGAACAGAGGCAGAGAGAGAGAGAGAGAGAGAGAGAGGAGAGAGAGAGGAGAGAGAGAGAAGAGAGAGATAGAGAGAGAGAGAGATGAGAGAGAGAGAGAGAGTCAGAGAGATATATATCGCTATCAGTCCAGAGAGCTCAGCTCTAGAGATAGAGCGCGAGATCTCTTCGGAATCAAGCTCGCTCTCGTCTCTCTCTCTTCTCTCCTCTCTCTTCTTCTCTCTCTCTCCTCTCTCTCCGAGAGTTCTGAAGATGAGAGAGAGAGAGAGGCCCTGGAACTACAAAGATAAAACTCTTCTCATTCTGGTTCATGAAGAAGGCTGAAGTTGAATGTGGGTTACTGAAAGTATGGAAACCGTGGAAACCATACACACCATGTCTATTTGAAGTTGATCTGTTTTTTTTTTACATGTAGCAAATATAATAACCTACTTGGTGAAAATGTTATCGATTTTAATAACCATCCTAAATAACTTTGTTTTAACTGAAGCTACTTTACTAGCCATTTTAATCTGGGTCAATGTGTAGACCGACAGAAAAGAGAGGAGAGTAGGAAGAGAGGGAGAAAACCAGTCACTGTAAATAAAAACCACCGTGACTGACTGCTACCCACTACCCACGCATGGGGTCACGCTTGGTTCATGACCTGGAGCTGAGGTAAGGCTGTGGTCCTTCTGCTTGTGGTCAAGACCTCACTTTCCTTCCCCTCTCCCCTGACACACATGCACGTGCGCGCGCACACACACACTCAGACATGCACAGGCAGGCACTCAGCTTTATTTTCATGGAATTTCAGGACTTTTTGGAGAGTAAAAATGTTTGACCATTAAAAATCTATTTTTTCCTAATCCATAAACTGTCACGATCGTCGTAGAGAGTAGACCAATGCGCAGCGTTAGTTGCGAACATACTTAACTTTATTATCTTTAGTGATAATATGAACAACAAAACAATAAACGAAACGTGCAGTCCTACAGTTAACACAGAAACAACCAAACGGAAACAAGATCCCACAAACACTAAGGGAAACAGACTGTTTAAATATGGCTCCCAATCAGAGACAACCAGCAACAGCTGACACTCGTTGCCTCTGATTGGGAGCCACTCTGGCCAACATAGAAATACCACAACTAGAACTCCCACACAGAACATAAACACATAGAATCTACACACCCTGGCTCAACATATAGAGTCCCCAGAGCCAGGGTGTGACAGTACCCCCCCCCCAAAGGGCGGACTGCGACCGCGCCTCAACAAAACCCAAACAGGGGAGGGCTGGGTGGGCATTTCTCCTCGGAGGCGGTTCCGGCTCCGGGCTTGACCACCACCCTTCAATAATCCCCCCGTAGCGCCCCTGGTCCGGTCTGGCCCCGCTGGCTGGAGCTGGACTGGACATCGAAGGAGCGGATTGCTTAAGCTCCGTTGTGGAGTAGCTGACCGGTACCTGATCAGGCACCGGTGACCCAGGCACGGGTTGTGCCGGACTGACGACGCGCACCCCTGGCTTGGTGCGTGGAACAGGAACGGACCGGACCGGGCTGACGATACGCACCCCTGGCTTGGTGCGTGGAGCAGCAACGGGCCGGACCGGGCTGACGATACGCACCCCTGGCTTGGTGCGTGGAGCAGGAACGGGCCTTACCAGGCTGACGACTCGCACCCCTGGCTTGGTGCGAGTGGCAGGAACAGGCCGGGCCGGGCTGGCGACGCGCACCGTAGGCTTGGTGCGAGTGGCAGGAACAGGCCGGGCCAGGCTGGCGACGCGCACCGTAGGCTTGGTGCGAGTGGCAGGAAACAGGCCGGGCCGGGCTGGCGACGCGCACCGTAGGCTTGGTGCGAGTGGCAGGAACAGGCCGGGCCGGGCTGGCGACGCGCACCGTAGGCTTGGTGCGAGTGGCAGGAACAGGCCGGGCCGGGCTGGCGACGCGCACCGTAGGCTTGGTGCGAGTGGCAGGAACAGGCCGGGCCGGGCTGGCGACGCGCACCGTTGGCTTGGTGCGAGTGGCAGGAACAGGCCGGGCCGGGCTGGCGACGCGCACCGTAGGCTTGGTGCGAGGGGCAGGAACAGGCCGGGCCGGGCTGGCGACGCGCACCGTAGGCTTGGTGCGAGTGGCAGGAACAGGCCGGGCCGGGCTGGCGACGCGCACCGTATGCTTGGTGCGAGTGGCAGGAACAGGCCGGGCCGGGCTGGCGACGCGCACCGTAGGCTTGGTGCGAGTGGCAGGAACAGGCCGGGCCGGGCTGGCGACGCGCACCGTAGGCTTGGTGCGAGTGGCAGGAACAGGCCGGGCCGGGCTGGCGACGCGCACCGCAGGCTTGGTGCGAGTGGCAGGAACAGGCCGGGCCGGGCTGGCGACGCGCACCGTAGGCTTGGTGCGATGGGCAGGAACAGGCCGGACCGGGCTGGGCGACTCGCACCGTAGGCTTGGTGCGAGTGGCAGGAACAGGCCGGGCCGGGCTGGCGACGCGCACCGTAGGCTTGGTGCGAGGGGCAGGAACAGGCCGGGCTGGCGACGCGCACCGTAGGCTTGGTGCGAGTGGCAGGAACAGGCCGGGCCGGGCTGGCGACGCGCACCGTATGCTTGGTGCGAGTGGCAGGAACAGGCCGGGCCGGGCTGGCGACGCGCACCGTAGGTTTGGTGCGAGTGGCAGGAACAGGCCGGGCCGGGCTGGCGACGCGCACCGTAGGTTTGGTGCGAGTGGCAGGAACAGGCCGGGCCGGGCTGGCGACGCGCACCGTAGGTTTGGTGCGAGTGGCAGGAACAGGCCGGGCCGGGCTGGCGACGCGCACCTTAGGCTTGGTGCGAGTAGCAGGAACAGGCCGGGCTGGCGACGCGCACCATCCACTTAGTGCGGGGAGAAGGAACGGGCCGGACCGGACTGGTGACGCACACCACTTGCTTGGTGTGAGGAGCGGGACTGGGTTTCGTCATAACCCTCCGCTCCCTCAGCTGCCTACCGAGTTCCTCTCGCCGTGCCTCAATTCTCACCTTCTCCCTTATCGCCTCCAATAGCTCCACCCTCTGCACCACTAACTCCTGCTCCCTCTGTGCCAATAGCCCCCTTAATCTGGTGGCCTCCTCACCTAACCTCCTACTACGCCCTGTAGCTGCCTCCTGCTGCCCCGTCGCCCATGCCGTATGCCCCCCCCTAAAAAATGTTTGGGGTTGCCTCTCGTCCGTCCGACGACGACATTGTGACGCCGTTGCTCCTCTCTCCGTCGCGCCTCTACCGTCTCACTCCATGGACGGCGATCCATCCCGGCCTGGATTTCCTCCCAGGTCCAGGACCCCTGCCCGTCCAATATTTGCTCCCACGTCCAGGCTGCCTGCTCCTGGACACGCTGCTTGGTCCTGGTATGGTGGGATCTTCTGTCACGATCGTCGTAGAGAGTAGACCAATGCGCAGCGTTAGTTGCGAACATACTTAACTTTATTATCTTTAGTGATAATAAAACAACAAAACAATAAACGAAACGTGCAGTCCTACGGTTAACACAGAAACAACCAAACGGAAACAAGATCCCACAAACACTAAGGGAAACAGACTGTTTAAATATGGCTCCCAATCAGAGACAACCAACAACAGCTGACACTCGTTGCCTCTGATTGGGAGCCACTCTGGCCAACATAGAAATACCACAACTAGAACTCCCACACAGAACATAAACACATAGAATCTACACACCCTGGCTCAACATATAGAGTCCCCAGAGCCAGGGTGTGACATAAACCTAACCCTACCCTTAACCTAACCTTAACCTTAACATTAACCTTAAGCTTAAACTAGCATTTGAAAAAATTCAGGACATTTTAAAAAATCGGGCTTTTCAAAAAAGTTATTGTTTTCTTACCTTGTCAGGACATTGGGGGGAATTGTTAGGACATTGGGAGATTTTAAAGGCTGTAAAGTTAACAAACATACCACTGACTGATTGTCAACGCTCGTTGTGTCTGATTAGACAGAGAAAGACAGTGTTTTGTCTCATTAGACAGAGAGAGACAGTGTTTTGTCTCATTAGACAGAGAGAGACAGTGTTGTGTCTCATTAGACGGAGAGAGACAGTGTTGTGTCTCATTAGACAGAGAAAGACAGTGTTTTGTCTCATTAGACAGAGAGAGACAGTGTTTTGTCTCATTAGACAGAGAGAGACAGTGTTGTGTCTCATTAGACGGAGAGAGACAGTGTTTTGTCTCATTAGACAGAGAGAGACAGTGTTGTGTCTCATTAGACAGAGAGAGACAGTGTTGTCTCATTAGACAGAGAGAGACAGTGTTGTGTCTCATTAGACAGAGAGAGACGGTGTTGTGTGCAGTGGTGGAAAAAGTTCCCAATTGTCATACTTGAGTTAAAGTAAAGATACCTTAAATGACTCAAGTAAAAGTCAAACAGTAAAATACTACTTGAGTAAAAGTCTAAAAGTATTTGTTTTGAAATATACTTAAGTATCAAAAGTAAACATCATTGCTAAAATATACTTAAGTATCGAAAGTAAAAGTATAAATAATTTCAAATTCCTTATATTAAGCAAACCAGACGGCACGATTTTCTTGTTTTTATATTTACGGATAGCCAGGGGCATACTCCAACACTCAGACATCGTTTACAAACGAAGCATGTGTGTTTAGTGAGTCCGTCAGATTAGAGGCAGTGGGGATGACCAGGGATGTTCTCTTGATAAGTGTGTGAATTAGACAATTTTCCTGTCCTACTAAGCATTCAAAATGTAACGAGTACTTTTGGGTGTCAGGGAAAA